ATGGGGTGAGCGAGGGGCCGGCTTAACCCCGCAAAGGACATTTCTAGCAGCCTCCTGCGGCTCTTCCTCCTATGACAGGCAGGCCGAGCTCACCCGGGTTTAACCTGTATTTCTGATTTCCCCTCCCCAGCCGGGGGGCCCAGAGCCGGTATGGGGGCCCCTGGTGGCTGCGTTGGGATTTTGGGGTGTGCAGCAGATGCTGTTTGGGTTTGCCGTGGTGCCTGGCAGGCCGGGTTCTGGGAGCTCAGGTTGGCTTTGCTGTTCAGGCTGGGCCTTGGAGGGGTTTGTCTGGCGTTGGGGGGCGACTGGGGTCCTGGAGCCAGTGACCGAGGAGCAGAGAATGCCTCATTCGAACGGGCCAAAGGCAGCCGGCGAGACGCGCTGGGAAGTCATCCACCAAGCCGGCCTCACAGCAGGGCTGCAGGAAGGGCAGCGAGTCGCCGGCCGTGCCGCGGGGAATGACTGTGAGTTCAAAGCCGGTTGCTTGGCTGGTCCAGGGGCTGGTTTGAAAACACGCGGAGGCCTGGCTGGACATAATGACCTGGCCTCATTTCTTACTGGGCACGACTGGGAAGGCGAACGGCGGCTTGACACACCGTGCGCTGGCGTCGGGATGTCTGGGCTCGCTCAGGGAGGCAGCAACGCCCTGATGCGAGGGAGTACAGACAAGCTAAGCCTAGAATGTAAAGATCAGGTCCCAGGACACCTGCCGTGCGGGGACGGGTCCCTGCAAAGTAACCGAGCCAAGTCAAACCGGTGCGATTTAATGTATAGCAAATGCAACGGCATGTGCAAATGCACCTCAGGGAAGGGGTGTGTGTAACACTGGCTGTGTGGTACGTCCTACGCCCACCCCCTGCGCCTGCATCTGGGCCACTCTGCATGCCCAAGCCAGGAGCCCGAGGGAGGAAATCCGGAGGGGAGCTGGGCGTTTTGGATCCCGGAGAACTGGAGGACGTGTTCTCCCGGAACTGGAGAAGCCGAGTGGACAGGTCTCGGCGGGAATCCCAGCACAGCGTGTGAATGAAAGGGGACAGCATGGGCCGAAGGAGGGAGGGGGCTGGAGATTGGAAAGATGCCCAGCTCGCATCCACCCATAATGGCTGCGGATGGCCGCAAAGCACCCAGAACAGAAATCAGCGCAGTACCAAAACCCAAAGCAGCCCACCCCAGGTGAGAATATCTGGTGCCGATCCCCCCTCCCGACCCGCTCTGGGTTGTCTCCAGTTAGGTGCCATTTTCCAGCCAATAGTAAATTTGCCCAAAACTGCATTTTTCAGGGCACCAAAGCTATTCACGAACTGGGGTCAAATTCAGCAAATAATTTCAGCCCCAAATTTTTTCTTTAAAGTTTCTAAACAGTTTGTTTTGATCATTTCGAACCGAAATGCATTGACTTTTCATTTCAAAATTACAGTTTGTTTTAAAATGTAGCTATATTTGTTCAAACAAACCAAAAAAGGGAAAAAAAACCCTCCCCCATAACAAAACAAAACGAAAAACCAGACAAATTTCATTGCGGATCGAAAGCCACCCCACAGAAATACACAAAAAACTTCCCACATTTTATGTTGGTTTTTTTGTTTCAGATGTTTTCCATCCAAGACAATTTGTTGTTGGTTTGTTCCCGTGAGAAACTGAAAAAAAATAATTCAGTTTCAAAACAAACCAAGTTTTTCCCCCCTGGGTTTTTCGGTTTGGTCCCTGACCCGAGACGTCAATTATTCACTCGGCTCTGTCATCCAGGGCTACTTGGACGCACCTTCTGTTACCTTCCCCTTTGCACTGGCCACGCATGAGACAGGTCAGTGGAGAATCAGACTCATTCTTCCCACGGCAAAATGTAGCTCGACTTCCTCGTTGGACCTTAGCCACCCTCTTCTCCTGCTTGACCCAGCTTTGTCCATCACATACCCAGATGCTGCCAAAGTCTCCGAGATCCTCAGCGGCACCCCAGACGGCGATACGGACTCCTTCTGGGCCCTCTCTGTTCCTAGCCCTCTTGAGAATCTTCCAATCCAACCGTCACTTTCCTAGCACAAAATAAGTCACCTCCTCTGCTGGGCTAAATCGGCGCACTCCCATTGCCTTCCGTGGAGCTTAATCCGGAAAAACGACACTGAACTCAATGGCATCGCATCCCGGTACAGATGGTGTGAGTGAGAGAAGAATCGACTCCCAGACTGCCGTCCGATAGCCATCCATTTATTGTTTGTGTTGTGATAGCGCTCAGGAGCCCCCGGCCTGGGCCAGGCCCCCATGGTGCTAGGCGCTGTACAAACACAGAACAAAAGGACAGTGCCTGGCCCAAATGGCTTACAATCCAAATATAAGGCACGAGACAACAGACGGCTAGAGACAGTGCAAGAAAACAAGGAGACATTACTGCTCAGCGTGCTAGGCAGTGGGTTAGCACACCAGCAGCGGGTTTTGGTAGGCGTGATGGAGTGTGGGTTATATTCCATCCAGAACCTCACCCACTCGCCCCAAATGGGTCCAAGTTCTGCTCTCAAGGAAACCAGTGTAAACCCAAAGGGTTCCACCAAGGCCAGTGGAATTACTCCAGATTTAGAGCAACCCAACGCGGAGCAGAATTTTTCCCAGGAGCATATTCCTCCAAGCTGCCAGAAAAGGGGCTTGTAAATACCACGTAACCAAAGCGAAAGAGAATGTTGCATTGTGGGGCATATTTTAAAAGGTGCCAGGAAGAGGTGCCAGGAGGAAAAACCCCCTGCCCCCTTGGGCGATACAGTCATACCGACCTAGCTCCCGGTGTGGGCAGCGCTAGTTTGGCAGGAGAGCTTCTCACGTCAACGTCGTTAGTCCAGCCCGACGAGAGGCAGTAGCTACGCCAACGGGAGCAGTTCTCCTGTCAGGACAGTAGCACTACACTGGCACGGCTGTGGTTTTTTAAGTGTAGACCAGCCCTCAGGCGCCCCACAGCGGGCGAACGGAGCCCTTTTCTGCAGTCCAAGCAGCTGCGGAGAAAGGTGGCGGCCGCCTGGCAGGGCAGAGCTGAGGGTTAACAGAGGGTTCCCGGTTGCGAATGCAGGGCTGAGGAGCTGGGTGGCATGTGCCTGAGGAGAAAGTTAAGAGAAGCCGCCGTGGAGGGGAGGAAGACGAGCGACAGGCTTCTTGGGCACAGAGCCCGCTGGAGTGGCAGGCAAGGGATAGATCAGATGCCTGCGTGGGAACTGGGGTTTGTTGGAAATTGGGCTCATGAGAATACAGACACCTTCATGGCTCTCCTCACGAGTGATCTCCACCCCGTACGAACGCACAGGCCTGGGTGGTGCTCCCTGACCATCTAGCGGTGTGAAAAGGTGTCTATTTAAAAGGGGAGCGCTCACCACCACCACCCTTGTGCAAATGGGAAACCTACGTCCCCCTCTAGTCCCGAATGGCCGTTTCACACAGCCAGAGGGACCCTATTGGCTCTGTCTTCCATCGGGTCCCGTTCACAACATGGTAACCGGTTGGGTCTTTCACCCCCCCCATCCCCTGTTGCCCAGCGGTCCGGCCAAGTGGCGAAGGGGAGAGTTGGGCCCACCGGTTAGAGCTGGGTGCAGGGTGGGGGGACTCCAGGAATCGAGCCGAGGGTCAGTAGAACCGGAGGAACAGAAGCCAAAGGCCAGCGCCGGCGGGGGTCAGCCGCAGTCGTAAGCCAGGATCAGGAGCGGAGAGACAGAAGCCAAGCGCTGGAACCGGCGGCTCACCCGGAGTCGTAAGCCAGAAGGTGGAGCCGGGGGTTGAAGCCAGAAGTCTGAAGGAAGGAGCAGAAGGTGCAGCAGAGGCTGGAGCAAGGGCTGGAGGAGGGACGGGAACGAGGGACTGGAGGAGGGACA